GCAAGCTTGGAGAATGATGTATGACTTATGAAATTACTATAGTCATACGTCACAACCCCGTTTTAACAACTAAGCAACTTTTGCAACTTTGAGCACAAAATTAAGCCATTTGTCTAAAAAAAGTTTGGCAAACTATGTGGGTAATCAACATTGTAGGGAAATGACTCAGAAAAATATGAAATAGAAATGTCAAAATACACTGGAGGGGGGCTTTAAGCTGTGTAGATGTTTGGTTGCACCACTGAGACGTAAGGTTCATCTTAGCTACTCTGGCGTGAAGTCCATACTAATCAAAATATTGTCGAAAGTGACGTTTACACATCCCATGGCCAATCAGTGAACAGCACTATTCCTAACAGAGAGTTTATTACGGTTTTGTCATCTGTGTCTCTCTCTCTCTTTCAACGTTTTGCAATACTGAAGAGGCTAACGGCTAAAAATAGCAACAAAACACCAACAAAAAGAATTATGATTAGGTGATAACTATGAAACCTTAATCTACAGCTAATCCAACAGTGACATCGAGTGGTAAAACCGTTTACTACACAATTTAACAGTAACGTAACCTGTAACGAATGGTACCATATACCGGGCAGATGAAATTGTAACATTATACATGGGGGGACATCCCCCTCATAATCTATGTTTTGTCCCCCTCACATTTCTCAGGCGATTTGGGAGTTGGTTAGCCAAGATGGTTAGCCAAGATGGTTTGCTATGAGTGACTAATCAATCACACACTCCGCATCAGACATAATTAAACGGTAGAAAAGCGGACAAAGATCAAGTAGGCCTATAGAAAACATCCGATACAATAAGGAAAAAACGGAGTACGCTCGAGGCAGGTGCAGTAAAGTGCCTCAATATTAGTGACTCTTCTTTTGTGCTGCTGTTACTTACAGCCTACCTGAAGACAGTAGCGAGGGCGCCTGCAGCAGGGTGGGTAGTAGGCCTAAAGCTTGAACTTCCGGTTTAGCCCTCCGCTAACATGAGTGGGGGTAAAATTGTATATGTGTGGCTGGTGTAGCCTCTCAAAAGTTATTGACCGAGTGAATCACATTCTGACAGTGAAATGAGTCATTTCGCTCGGGTTGTGACACTCAAATATATTGATCCACCGTGTTACAGCCGCCATTTTGGCCGCTAGTAAAAGTTACTTCAAAGCATGGGCACTTCCTGATGGCTTGGAGGCATTGCGAGGCTACCCAGCCAACCAATCACAGAGCTTACGGTCTGCGTCGACTCGACGTGTAGTTACATCAGGAGGTGCACGTCAGGCTACAGCGTAGATGACGGCGTAGGGTAGGGGGCTACGCAGAGGCTACGCGGTCGATTTGACGCAGAAGTATAAATTGCACTTAACTTGTTACAAGTAATGCAAATTTGCTAAATAAATAACTAATTTCCTTTTCACGTTCCTTTATTATTTATATTTTTACTCTTTACTCCAGAATTTTCTTTGTGACAGTAATCTACTTTTAATTTCTTTACATTTCCTATTCATAACCAGTCTGTGATCTGCATTTTGTTTATTAACCGAAATGAGCTGTCATTCAGGCTGTGCGCGTGCAGTTACGCAGAAGAGCCCGGTATAATTTGCTCCTCCTCTTCCCAGTTACCCCACCTTTCAAAACGATGCGCCATGACAACCGCTCGACTATTTTATGGAGGACTTCACACCTATTAAGGGCTAGGTGTAAGATAAACGTTAGTAGCACGTTAAGTTAGAAATTATGTTCAAACTAGGCTAAGTTTGAACTTACACATAGTTGGTGCAACCCAGTGCTAGTCCTTAATAGGTGTAAAGTCCTCCATAAAATAGTCGAGTGGTGGTCATTTTCTTGAGATAATACCTTTAATACCTTGCAAGAAAACAATGACAAAATAGCCTAATTAACTCAATGACTTAATGATCTCAAGATAAAATTATTGCAACTTTATCTGCTTCTGTAGGTGAAAATGCATTCATTTGTCAATTCAACTGTAATTTTTAGCAAATATTTCTTAGTTTTAGAGTTACCCCAATCTAGAGATCAGATTTAATGTTTTTAATTCATTTCATCCTGTACATTCATATTACACATGATTTGTCTTGAGTAAATAATTAATTCCTTGCAGTCTTGTGGGATGATGTCACTGTCTGTGATGACCAAGGCTCATCACTTCAGGAGAGAAGCACAGTTGTTGCCGCCTGCAGTGGCCTTGATGTTCCTCCTATATATATATAAATATATATATATGCTGTCCCCGACTAAGGATTTACATAATCGAATCGTCAAGTCCTGCCTATAGTCGAATTATGCGTTTTTCTGCGAGGGGGGGTTTACACAGCGCCGCTTTAATCTTAAGAAGCTGCACTCTATTCATTCAACTTACACTGTAAATTTCCAGCTAAACTGAGGCTTTTTGAAGACCCTTTTCTCTCTCACCTGTCATTCACCCGTTTTGAGTTTTACGTGCATTACTGCTGCCGTCAACTACATGCACGTCGCGGTTCCATTTCACGTAGCCAGCTATTTAAAAACGATAATATGTTCTTTATGTGGTTCATCAATGGTGATAAATTATCCGAAGAGGTCTCTTCAGCAAGTGTTCCTCCACTGCACAAATACACACTACGCCCACACATGCGCACTGACGACCCAGGGTTACAATTTTGGATTTATTCACGCACTTCAAAAACTTGAAAGTTTTATTCTTTACATGTTTGTTTACAGCAATGTATATTGTAATTATGTAAAATATTGTATATTAATTTTTAAATTACATAGACCGGCCTATGTAAAATCAGACATTGAGCACCCCCATATCGCCAAAATGGCACGATCCTTGTTTCCGCTGCAATGCTTCGACTGTGAGATTGACAGTCGAATCAGGCTCCGCCCATCAAAGCATCGAATCTTCGACTATTCGGGGTCAGCCCTGGGGAGAACAAGTATTTGATAACTGCTGATTTTGCAGGTTTTCCTACTTACAAAGCATGTAGGTCTGTAATTTTTATCATGGGTACACTTCAATTGTGAGAGATGTAATCTAAAACAAAAATCCAGAATATATAGTATGATTTTTAAATAATTAACTTGCATTTTATTGCATGACATAAGTATTTGATCACCTACCAACCAGTAAGAATTCTGGCTCTCACAGACCTGCAAACTTCAGACGGGCCTGGACATGCGCTGGCTTGAGCAGGGGGACCTTGCGTGCGCTGCAGGATTTTAATCCATGACAGCGTGGTGTGTTACTAATGGTTTTCTTTGGGACTGTGGTCCCAGCTCTCTTCAGGTCATTGACCAAGTCCTGCCGTGTAGTTCTGGGCTGATCCCTCACCTTCCTTATGATCAGTGATGCCCCACAAGGTGAGATCTCGCATGGAGCTTGCTTGCTTGCTTGCTTGCTTGCTTGCTTGCTTATTGTCCTGTAGCCCATCACAGCCTTGTACAGCCTTACACAGCTGTCTGGTCTTGGTCATTGTTGAGAGGTTGGAGTCTGTTCGATTTATACAGGTAACGAGTTCAAACAGGTGCAGTTAATATAGGTAACGAGTGGAGAACAGGAGGGTTACTTAAAGAACTAACAGGTCTGTGAGAGCCAGAATTCTTACTCGTTGGTAGGTGATCAAATACTTATGTCATGCAATAAAATGCTAATTAATTATTTAAAAATGTGATTTTCTGGATTTTTGTTTTCATATATGATATATATATATATCATATCAGTTTGACTTGTCACAGCAGGAAAGGTACAGGTGTAAATAACACTACACACTAACAGCTCTTAACTGTCCCAGTAAGCCATGACAGTGTGACAGTGAGCCACATGAACAACAGCAGCCCCAACACAGTGTAGCAAAACACTTATTTAAATGGAAACAGTGGCGCTTTGAACACCCTGGTGCAATATGCAAGCCTACTGCAATGTACTGCCTTTTTAATGTTGCTGCTGATTGGAGAGCACACGTCTGACACACCCACCAAATGAGAGAAAACGTAGCCTACCTCAAAGCCGCTGCGCACCTTTCATACGTTTCGAGAAAACTTGCTGTTCAACCCGGAAGGGTGAACACCGTTTTCGTTGAATGTGCCCTGCATCCCCAGTAAAAATGACACCTATACGTCAACACTTTTAAATGTCCTGCCCCATCCAGGCTGTGATCTCTCCGCCGACAGAGATTAGCAGGCAGGTGAGAGCAGGAACAGGTGAGCGGCACGTAGCGTCAGAGAACCTGATATGGAGAGGGCAGAGGAGAACCGGCAGCTTTGGAGAAGTCCCGGTACGCGAGAAAATGTCCCGGTATGCCGAAGAGTAAAATGTCAAGGTGCCGGTTCAGGCCCACTTCAAGCACTGATTGGGGTTTATAAATATGCATGGGCATGATGGAAACCACTTAATGTCCAAACATGTAATATGGTTTCAGCAAAACATGCTCAAATGTTTATAAGATAATTGGGGCCTGTTTTGTTGCAGATTAATCTAATTTGAAAAAGGTCCAAAAGTCTTTATTGTCTTTATATGCAATTTTTGAGTTGGTGGCAAGAAATAGTTCAGAATCTGGCTGATCAGCTTCATCATGAGATTTCATACCTTTAATGGCGAAGACAGATTTCTGACTTTTCAGTTCAATATTTAATGGTGAAAGCATTAATATTACTTCTATTTACAGTTAAATTAGTGTAAATATCTGTTAAAAGACAACTTTATGTTAACAGTTCACAGCCATGTCTGATATGGATTTTTGCAGTTATATGTGTAAATGTTTTTTGACTAGTTAGATGTGCGGTAAATTGAAAAACTATTAAAAGTTCAATGTAAAATTTGGATGAACTATGGACATTGATAATACATAGAAGTGCAATATAAAACAACTGACCACTAGGTGGAGTTGTAGGATATGTTTGTGATGCAAAGGCAGTTTAAATCATGATGATGCTTTAGAAACAGAAGAATACTGATATTTTTCTTATCTTTGTCTTTGACACTGAACTTCTTCAGGCAACTGATTTCTATTCCAACCTCATTAAAATTTAATTGTTTATCCCATAAACTCCAAACTAGAAGAAACTAGAATTCTTTGAATGGCTTTATACATTTCGGGAAAAGAAAATACATTATAGAGATATTATTAGAAATAGAAAATCTGCTTTGGTGTTAAACAAAGTCATAAAACATGCTCACTGGATTGTCAGGTGATACGGAAACCTAAATAAATCTGTTTAACTTGTGGTTTTTAAACAATCAAATGATTTAATTTGTTTCTGACAATCTGTGATTCATTGAGAGGGAAAAGTATACATAATGTCAGTCAGTGAAAAAATAACTCAGAGTTTGGGTGGTGATATATATTTCTCAAGGTTTACAAATAACTATTTTTAAATGCGGCATAGTACATTACACATTATTTCCAGAGAGCAAAATAAATATATTGCACTTAAAAATCATCAAAACACAATCTCATTCGGTGTCATATTCATGTTATGGCATACAAAATAAAACAAAACATTTTTTTAAAAAGAGATTATTGTCAGTGGTAAGTCAGGACTGTGCATATGATTCAGAAAGAAAAAAAAGTGTTTTTACATTTACACTGATGGAAATCAACATTCAGTTCATTTGTGCACACCTTTGAAACAACGCTCAGGGTGCACATCAGTAAAGGACCAAGACTTGATTTCCAAAGCAAAAATTGTGAGGGGAAAAAGTCAAAGTAAAATTTGACTTTCCTGTTGGAAAGATGGGATAAAATGAACTGCTTGCACATTAATGACATGCAAGGGGTCAGAGCAATACATTTATGTCCATATTACGCTGCAACAGGCTTCATATAATGTCTCATTTTAATAAATTTGTTTGAATTCTGCCTCCACAAAGCAGCAATAAAAGTATCTTCATCATTTTTTACTCACACCTGAATCAACACAATGACCTAATTGTGATACATCCAAATGCTGTTTTCATGACGGAATGTTGAACCGTGTTTTTCTTTGGATTTTGTGCATAAAACACAGCCTCACTTTAAAAAGTATCCATCAGAACCTGCCATTTTGTCAATTATTGTGTCCTTAAATGTCATATTTTCCCATGTGGAAACTGAATTTCTGAGGCTGAAAAAAATAACAAACATGTTGGATAAGTTTCCCTTAATTATCTGATTGGTTAAGAAATTTAAGTGAAACAATCAGCCAATTAATCGATTAGTTAATTGATAGAAAGGTATTTTGATAAATGATTAATTGTTTAGTCAATCACAAATGCCAGACATTTACTGCTTCTCAAATGTCAGAATGTTATGCTTTTCTTTATGATAAACTGTCAATTTTTTGTGTTTTAGACTGACTGAAAAAACAAGTCATTTTAATTTGTCACATTTGGTTCTTAGAAATTATAATGATACTTCTAACTAATTTCTGACATTTTATTTATCAGCAGTGTAACAATAATTCTTTGTTGTAGCCCCAAAGAAATATTGCCATTTTTTGTTACTTATCAGCCGACATATACACAGATACAGATGTATCTGCCATAATCTAATAGTCCGATATATCAGTCTAGCTCTAGTTTTTGGACTCAATTATAGACAATTGTTATTTGTTAACATGAAGAGTTTTTGCTCTGGAGCTCAGGGTCTTAAAATGCATCTTCACAATAAAATGTATACGAAACAATACTAATTATTAATTGTCACTTCAGGTAGGACCGTTTCACCTATGCAGCTTGTATTTGTATTTCTTCATATTTTTCAAATAAATTACTTTGACTTCTCTGCCAGTCAGCTGCCATTTTTATGCACATGCACCTGACTGTGTGCAAGTCGACTCCAGCAGCCTCCAGCTCCTTCCCCCCGGCATGTTTTAAATGAGAGAGCAGAGAGCCATTATCTCCAGGTGTGGATGCCCTGTCGACACACTCTGGTGCTGCCATGAATCAGCTCGGAAACACCTGCTAGACCAACTGCTAAAAGGCTGCAGTCAACAGTCTGCAACTGAAAACACAGTGGAGACAAAACGGATGTTTCTACATAATAGATGCTGTCTATTTACAACGTAAAATATGAACTCAAACTGCTGTTACCCTTCAAATGGTTCTAGATATCATGAAATAAAAGTTTGTTTCCCTCAAGAACCAGAGGAAACAGATTCATGAGGTCTACGATCATGGCCACGTTCACACAGTTAATTAAAATATGACTACTTTAAAACAGATGACTTGAACTCAACACATTTTGTGGTTGAAGCCCTCTTAGTTAAGGCCTGGCCACACCAGAAAGTAAAAGCAAAATTCATCCTCACATCTTCACAAAGTAGATGATGTTGGAGGCTCTGTGACCTATAGGGACAATTCGCAGGGCTAGTTAATGAAATGTAGCTGGTGAGCTAATGGCTAACATGCTAGCAAGCTGAGAACACGCTAGAGCTAGTCAGTCACAACAACCCTCAGAGTTTCTTTGTATTTTCTCTGAACTTGGCATTTTTGGGGGATTTTACACCATTTCATTCAAGAAGACAGACAAATGGCTCTCCTGAGCCAGCTAGCATGCTAACTGTCAGTTAAGTAACTCGTTAGCTAGCTTGCGGACGGGACAGAAAGTTCAGACAGTTTATTCAAAAGATGTATTTGTACTATCAGTTCCTGTCTGGTCCTGTAATCTACTACTCTTTTGTAGAGCAATTTATACTCCAACAGAGGAGGTTAAGCAACACAGATAATAAGCTATTGTAGCTTATTATCTGTGTTGCTTAACCTCCTCTCCATTTTAGCCCATCATGTTCTCTGTTCCCTTAAAAGTCCGCAACATGGTTTGCTATAAATCAATGGTCAGGAATTTGCATGTCAAAGTTCACCAAAGTGTAACCCCAAGGTGAAAGATTTAAGTGGATTTACTTTGCCTTGTGAGCGAATCCACACATTGCATTGAAATTGATTTAGCTGCAAAGTTTTTACTGTTTTACATGCTGGTGTGACCTGGCCTTCAAAAAGCAAAAAGCCTCCAGCTTATTCATCTCATGTTATTCCATATAAAGTTTACCCAGCGTGTTTGTCTACTGCAGTCAGCATGCGTCCTATGATTTTTTTTGCACTCTACTGTGAGAATTTTCCTATGAGTAAATCTTGCTTTTTCATCTTTGTACAATGCATTTTAACATTTGTTTTTGACATTATTTTCAGCAGCGCGTGATGTCTGAACTGTACATGGCTGGCTTTCTAAAAAACGAGAGCTCAGATGGACGCTCTGCCACTCTGGTATGCTAAACTGTTCACAGACTCAGACTGAGCCTTGGTGTCCAACATACAGTAGCATCAGACGAGTCTCTCCAAAAAGCATTATTTTGAAGAATCACACAGCAACCTGTCATCCTTAAAGCCTCGGTGGAGACCCTGTAGCCAGTAGGGACTGTTAAACCTTTAGAGGGAGACATGGTCTTCTAAATACTGTTAAAATGAGTTTAAGCTGAGGATTTCAGAATCCACTTTCTGTTCTTCAAGGACCAAGACCAAACATGCTCCTTTTATCATCTCGCATTAGGTTTTATAGTTTGTATTGTGGTTGAAAGTGTTTGTACAATGACACTAAAGTGTTCCTAGAAAGCACAGGACGGATGATGTGTCCACAGGTCCTATGGAGGCACCGCAGTCCTATTTTCCAAAATTTCTGGATCATTATGCCACATCCACTTCTCCACACTCAATGAAGCTGAACTATTTACAAAGACCAGGGGTAAAGATACAAACAGGATGAGGAGTCATGAGTGGAGAAATAACTGGTTGCATTGGTTTGGGGATGAGCATCAGAGCAAGGATCCTCCCCAGGATGGAGTCATACAAAAGGTGTCATGACTGTGGAGGAGTGGCGGAGTCCCTGAATGGCAGCATAGGGCCCCTGCTGGAAGTAATGATGGTAGCGGGGCATGTGAAAGGAAGGGAAGGACGGACCGCTGCCCTGCATGGTTCCAGCTAGAGCAGTGGGTGTCAGCGGCATGCCCAGCCGGCTGTAGGGGGGGGAGGGAGCCCTGGATGGGGTGAGGCAGGGAGGCAGTACCGGTGCCCATGGCTGTCAGGGACTGTGGGTGCTGGAAGCCAGAGAAGCCCGAAGTGGTAGTGACCCAGGAGCTCAGGGAGAGGTTGTCTGAGGCGGTGAACGCCGAGCCTGCAGGAGACACAGGGCAGATGTAAATATTAGGGTGATATATATATTTAGGTTAAAGATAAATATGCATATACTGTATTTAAAGATTAAGTATGAACCAACAGGCTTGGAACTTAGTGTCAGGTGCAAGTCAGACAGTATTGAGAGATGGATTGTTGATTTAGGTCTTTTCATAGGATTTGTTGACAATAAGAAAAGTACAGAAAAACATCAGTCTTCGCTCTCATCTCCTGTATCTGTACTGACATGATATTTTGTGGGTGTGAAAGCTACTCACCTCTTGCGTGTGCGGCGTGTCCGTCCTCGCTCAGGTTCTCCTCCTCGCCGGTGTAGGTTCGGATCGGCGACCGGGCGTACGAGTGCTTGTGGATCAGATTCTCAACACTTTCCCTGCAGCAAAAGCCGAAGAGAGAGCCCCAAAATAAATCTCTTTTTTTTCATTGTAGATATTAATTTTGTGGAGTTGAACCTCTATATTAAAACAATGCACACACTTAAATTTATATCTATATCTATATAGATAGATATGGATATGTATATAGATATCTCAGAATATTTGATCACATATTGCAGTAACTGCTGGCAAAACTTGTGACTCATCTCCCACACCTTTGTTTTCAAAAATCTATCCCTTTTCTCCATAATTTTTTAACACATTTTCTTCATTTAGATATTTTTTAAAACATGTTTAAAAAATTTAATCTTGTGTTTTAAAAACATTACAGTGACAATAGTTTTCACAGGGTCCAATATTTTGATAGTTGTTATTAGAGTTCTACCTGTATGAAGTCTCACTTGTCAGTAGTTTGCGTTCATGTAGTGTTTTTGTTTACATGTCTGAAAATATGTGCGCCCGCTCTGAGTGCAGTTGTTGTCATATTTGTGTAGATTGTGCATGTAGATTTTTATGTGTGTGTTTGTGTGTGCATGTTCACAATCCCACGAAGTGCATTAGCTCATTTGAGTCTTGTCAGATAGCACTTCTCAAACACAGTGACACAAATTGTTGGGGGAGGTAGTGAGCGTGTGTGTGTGTGTGTGTGGGTGGGTGGACAGGCAAGTGGTCTGCATCATGAGAGCCATGCGTCCACATTAGCAGCCCCCCTCTGCAGCTCCCGCCCCTCCAATTAGGTTAGGAAAGTGCAATATCTGTCAGCAGAGGAGTACAAATGTGTGTGTTTTTATCAGCGTCGGGCCCCTCCGGCACAGAGGCCACAGCGAACTCCCACAATGCACGGCAAGGCAAGGGGGAGGCAAGGGGGAGGCCAGGGGGAGGCCAAGGGGAGGGGGGGGGGGGGGGGGCATGCTGGTTTCAATCAGTCACTGCAGCCAATTGAATTACAGTGTGTTTTAGTGCAGTGGCCGACTCCAGACTAATGTGATTTCTGCAGCTCCCTGAAGATCAATTGATCAGGTCTAATTCACAGCCCTCAAAAAGAGAGAGACAGAGAAGAAGAAGGAGGGGGGGGGGGGGGGGTGTGTCTGGCCTTGTTTCAGCCATCTCTGGTTTGGGATGTTTGATTGAGGGAAATGGGCAGATGGTTTGATTTTGTCAGCTAATTTTGGCTGTAGTGCCGGAATCAGGAATTACAAGAAGTGTGTGTTTTGGCAGCGTCCATAAAAATCCTTTGGATGATGATTTGCAACTGTAAGTGTGTGTGTGAATGTGTGTCTGTGTGTCTGTGTGTCTGTGTGTGTGTGTGTGTGAGTGAGTGTGTGCGGCATTTGTCTCATGCATAATATGGTACAATAGGTAAAACAGTGAGAGACAATTAAAAAAGTAGAAGACAAAAATTACCTAATAAATGGACAAAAAGGAAGGGGATTAAAGAAAAAAATATGAGAAAGTCAATAAGGAAAGGTGAAACAAAGAAAAAAGAAAGAAAAAACTGAATGAAAAAACAAAAGAACAAGGTAAGTGAGGAGAAGAAGGGAAGGCTAAATGAGGCTAGAATTGTAAGACAGAAGGAAAGAAGGACAAAAGAAAATACAACGAGAATGGAGAATAGAAAGATAAAAGATGGAAAGACATAAGAAAGAAGGAAAGATGTGAACAAATTAAAAAAAGAGAGAGTGAAATACTAAGGAGAAAATTACAGAAAGAAAATAATCATAGAAAGAAATAGATGATAAAGCCTACTATGGAGCGGATTATCTGTTTCACTCTGACACAAACAGAGAGAAATAAACACTGTCTGTATTTACTATTTAGCAGCAGGATATCTAACACTGTCCTCCACACCCACACACACTCCTCCCTCCTTGTGTATCTTATTGACAGTAAACAGTGCCGGACCCAGAATCCCCAGTACCTCTCCATGTCTGTCAGCCGCGAGGAGTCCCGGAAACCTTTGGCGAACGGGTTGCTGTCGATCTTCAGTTTGGTGATCTGGGAAACACACAGCAGGAGAGTGGAAACTGTAATTGTTTCTCCCTTTTTTAAATTCACCCTGCAGTTTGTTTTTGTGTTTTCTCAGTCTTCAAGCCAATCTGTCCGCTTCATGTTCCCTCCTGCAGCTTGGCTCTCTTCTCTGTAATGTTACCACAACACTTCAAACACAATAGATCTTAAGCTGATGATACATGGAGCAACTTTTAGAGCAATGGTGCTGGGCAATGTTGCTGTCAATGGTAATGAGTTAAGATTACTACCGTAATCTCCTTCACCTTCGATTTCAATACTTATATTTACCTAAATGTTGCTCAATATGTATCTGACACACTGAACAGCGAGCTACTCAATCTGACACACCTTATTTTTCACAAGCTACTTGATCCAAATACTGACGGTCATGATTCAAAACTAAGTTTATCAGCTTAAATTATTGCTATGATATAAATGAAAGTTTAACTAGGAGGAGACTTGATGTAAAGTGAAAAGCAAGAGAAAAGACATTTCACTGGATTTTGATTGGCTTTATTTTCTCAGATAACCCTCCATTAAAAAATGCCCACCTTTGTACATCTCTATTTATTAGTGATCTATTAATTGCTGCTATGATGAGGGACCGTAAGGTGCCCTTTTGTAAATCCTCATTTCCAGAGAGACATCATCAGAATGTGACATAACTCCTTTCCCACAGAACTCAAAATGGATCATGACTGGCATCACTTTAAACTCAAGTTGAAACTTTTTTAGAGACGGATCAGTCATTTATTCACAAATATTTTGGTGCTTGTCATTGAGTGGTATTGTGATTTTAGTGTATCATTGTTTGTGTTTTGTGTTGTTCAGTAGTTTGCTAGCTGTTCTTCAGCTTTCACATTGTATCATATGATCTTCTTCAGTTCAAGGATGAACTTTCAATCTCAACATTTAACCCGACATGGATGAGAAGTCCTTAAAGTGCTCAGAAAAAGAAAGAAGCAAGTATGAACATCAACACATCCGTGTCCATCTGGGCAAATTAATACTTAAGATTGTGTGATACAATTAAAAAGCTCCAGAACAGCTACTATGTAGAGCTTGTAGCTTTATTATTATTTTATGTTTAATGAAAACCAACAGCAGAGTTTGGAGGTTAATCCAAAGAAGAAGACAAAACACATGGCCTATAACAGCCATACACCCGTGTCAGTCGTCAATCACTCACCAGCTGGTTCTGATAGGCCGTGACGGCAGTGAAGACGGTCTCAACAAATACAAAGGTGCGGAACTCCTCAGACTTGAGGTTGAGCAGCGAGGCGGTGTGGTCCTTCTTCTTGATGATGTGGACCCGCGGCTGGTACTTGTGCATGGAGTTCAGGATGATCTGCAGAAGACAAGTAGAGCCAGGATCAATGACATTCTATGAGACAGGTAAATGTTCAGGTTCAGACTATCAAGGACAAGAGACTGAAATGACAAACAATCTAATTAGTATAAATACATGAGGCTCAGGGTTCTCTTGTATGTTATTCCACTGTGCCATGGAGCTCCATAGAACCTAAACACATCAGTGAGCCACTGGGTGACATGTTCCTTCATTTCCATGCAAACACACATTTAGAATCAATCCCACACACACTGTCGTGCTGCTGGAAATACTTGCTAACAAATGTGTTTTAATACGACAAGTCTCCAACAAATGAGCTATTTCATCTTGTTTGCGTAAAGTTTTCAAGTTTTAATCTAAAATGTTTTCCAATCTACCAAGATAATTTTAGTGAAATCAACCGCTTTATATTTTTGCATTTATAAATGTATCTAAAAGCCAACATGGTCGATGATTCCTTAAAGTGCTCTGAAACAATGGCAATTTGAACATCTATCCCATTACAACTGGGCAACTCTGATCTGATGAAGATCATGTGATATGATTTGAAAGCTCCAGAGCAGCTACTAAATGGACCAGTGTGTTTTCTAGGACTTTATTGTTCTTTTCCTGATATTTAAGTTTTTTAAAATACGTACAAACAAATATAGATAAATCTATAAATAAAAATTGAAATAAGTCTGCTAAAGGAAATTATACATTTTTGTGAAATGGTAAATTTGAGACATTTTTACATTGAGGCATGATGCCTCGTAGTTTCTTTATTGCTGCTGGCTTTGTGCAGCTTTGCATGTATTTTCAAATGAAAATATCCAACATATCCAACAGGTCGGACTGAAAGGCCAACAAAGACAGAGGGGGAAAGGCTTGAGGAAGAACAAACATCTATGTTTGTAAAATGACAAAGAAGACACAGTGCAGAGAGACTAAGAATAAAAAGACAGAGGAAGGAATGGGGTGAATAGAGAGAGACAAGTGTGAACAGATAAAGTTGTTAACACTGCAGCAGCTGCAGGTGAGTTTTCCTCTACAAGCGTTCTGTCTGGCTGCAGCCCAGGAAACAGTTTATATTTATCTTTCTCAACCACTGACTCAGGACTCTAAATATCAGTTCAAATACAGATGTAATGTGTGTGCAGAATATTTAACACAATATGATAGGTGCTAAAGGGTGCAGGCTCTAGGTGTGTAAATATAGGTAAATGAATGTTGATACAAAATAAATGTTATATACTTTAATTTTTACCAGTGGAACTATAAATAAAAAAGTTCTGTTTTTTAAAATAGTATTAAGGAGAGTGTCTCCTTGATCTTTATTATAGAATTAATTCATACAGCTACATTTCAGCTATTTATTTTGGATACAGCAATGCTTCAGTATTGCTTTCAGGTTACCTCTGTTTTTAAATGTGTAGCTATAGAGTTGCCTACAACATTTCTTCATTTCAATCATTCATTCATATAAATTTTTTGACAGAAACTGAAATAAATGCTTTGTGATGAAGATACTAGTAAATGTCATCCCTGTTTTGTTGTGCCGCAAGATTGAATTATATTGTTTTTCAAATTACAGGGCTTTTAGCAGCACTAATAATTACACAAAACAGGGGGGGAAATCTCCTTTCATCAAATAATGGAAAAATATTATTTGTGCATTTGATTTATATTATAATAATTGATGGGTTTATTTTGCAAAAATTGGGGGGAAAGCTATGTTGCCATTTAAAATACAAGGCTACTTAAGCATTTATTCATTTTAGTAATAGTTTCAAAATCCTGCTACATGTGGCATTTACAACAGTGCTGAATAACCCATATGAATAAACCAATATAATATATAGAATAAAATAATATGTATCTGACAAAAGTAACATAAATAGGCGAAAAGGCAAATACAGCATGTTTGCTTTGAATATAGGCTGTGTGCACATTCTGTGTATTTATTTTGGTCACTTCCATGTAAACAGTGTCAGGAAGCTATTTTTAGACCGGTAGAAAGAAAAGTAGGCTGCAACACACACACACACACACACACACACACACACACACACACACACACCTCAAAGATAATAATTAGCCTACCTTGTTTCCCAGGCTGTTCCTTACATCTGCCTAATTAATGGATAAACCTTGCACCATAAATGTTTTTTTTCGGGCTTTTGAAGTTTTTCTGTTGCCTGCTTGTGCTTAGCATGATGCCTTCAGTGAAAGGAGGATTAAAAGAGCAATCTCCTCTTGTCAGGCCAGTTATTATAATGTCAAGCCGGCCTTTAAACGTGACAATGGTCTAACTTAAACTTTTTTGGCGATATCCAGAAGACAAAGTCCTGCACACACAACATTTGGCTGGTCAATTTAGATCCAGTTGTTATGCTATTTAAAAATGTTACAGGCCAAAGCTATTTGCCAATGTATGACAGAGATTCATAAACGTTGCTTTGAGTATGTTTTTTCATCTGAAATGTAGGCTATAGTTTAAGTGTTTTGCATGAGTAAAGCCTCTGTAAGCATGACTAAATAGCCTAATGTGTTAACAGGCTACTTGATGTTTTTTGATTTTATTTTCTCGAGACAAAAGAGGAATAAAGTAGGCTAACAAGTGCTCACATGTCCGTGTTGATCCAGTTCGTTGTTTGTCAGTTTGACTTTCTCGAAGGAAACCATTTGCTTCATCAGCTGCTCTCCGGTGAACGGTGAGTCCGGGTGGACGTACAACCTGCGGGGAGAAGAACAGCGGATCACATCCTCAGCTGTGATTGGCTGAGAGCCCTTCTGTGCGAAAGATATTTGAAATATGGCCTACATGTTGCCTACTTCTCAGTCATTGCACCACTTTGTCCCAAGAAATATGTTCGATTTAATCAAGCATCTCTGGAGCTTTTTTAATGCTGGGGATTGTAGTTCAGACCACATGCATGTAGGGCCTTAGCAGGATTTTTAAAACAGACTACTCAGATAAACTGGTCATGAGCGACAGATATAAAAAAAAGCATTATTTCTTAATTCATTTTTTATAATGTGTATTTCCCATCATGGAGTTAGGAATAACAATTTGGTTGATAAATAGATACTAACTCCTTTATTTATTTAGACTACCTTTTTTAAAAACTGGTCATATTTTGAGTGTAGGCGATCTGGTCTAAATAAATAGGCTATGCCACTTTTTAATTGTTGAATGCAAACTTCCCGCAGGTAGCTAAAACTCCCAAATTCTCAGGGGAAAATACGGAGGACCGAATGACCTGTTGTGATTGCCCTTAGTCACTGACACACACAAAAAAAACAAAAGGACTTCAGCTGGTCTATTCCCTGATTTGACATCTTCACAACATCAGTCAACTTTGCATGAACATTCCCAGATGCTTCCTAGTAAAGATTTAATTATTTCATTTGTCTCAATTACGGTGGTGGCCTCGCGCAGCTCTTTGGACTTGAGTTGGAGTTCGAGCTCATGATGAAGTTCAACAAATTATAAAAAAAAAAATAAAATACTTTTATTAATCCTGTTAGGCAGCCTTATTATTGGCAGCCTATTTTACATAGGCTATATCTAAGCTTACTAACGGTTTGTCAGCCATACACACTATTCAGACCGACATCTGGGGCATAAACCAGCCGTCTGTGTAACAAAATACAGGAGCGCAGGATTCCTAATATCAAATATTGCGCAAACATCAAATTGCCTTAATTGCATTAAAATAAGACATGTATTTTAGATATAATTCACACAGTTGTCAGAACATGTGGATGAATTATGAGGTCAGAGGAAGCTTTTGAATGTTGGATCAGGAACTCATCACAGTAATTTATATGGAAGGACTGCGTTGAAAATACGGAGGAATAGCCTGTTCATATGATTTCATCTTTCAAGCCAGACTCTGTGTTTAAAGGGCCTAAATGTTAAATAAAAACGATAATGTTTGAAAAGTTCCCTTTCTTGGTCTTTGCTTCCCATTACAATGATGAAAAAATCCTTTAAAAACGAATATTTCTAAAAGCATGTTTATTCCAGGAACATGGCTTTTGTTAGCTTTTCTCTCACTTGAGGGTATTGTGTTCATGTGGGCTCTGAGAGGTGTGCAGGGTGCGTCTCTGTACCTGGCGGGCAGAGGAGGGTCGGCCTTTCCGGCCACCAGCCAGGACGAGCGGTGGTAGGCGTACCGGTACCGCTTATTATCTACTGGGACGATGTCCATCAACACGATGTACTTAGAGTCCTGGTCCACGCCGGAGAAAGAGACCCGGATGGTAGGGAACATCCTCCTGGAGACGTGACAAGTTAATATTATTATTGTTATTTTGTAGGCGACATAACAAGAAATAATAGCTAATTAAAATAAAATTAAGACAGTCAACCCTTTACCTTCCAGACTTGATGACCAAGTGTGATTTGTATTTTGTTTTATGACAGAATCAATTTAAATTGCTATATAGGCAGTATTAACCAGAAGGTTTAGAAATACTGAGGTCATGTCGTCTCCAACCCATTCCCTCTCCCCTCCCAGAAAACTTTTTTGTTGTTTTTATTGTTTGTTTGTGTCTTGGATTTTTTAAATTGCATTTTCTAATAGAATTATTTGTAAATTGTATTTCCTAAATACAATTGCAAACCATTGCAATGATATGCCTACTTGCATGCTTGTGAATACTTTTTTTGTTGGCTTAAAATTTGGTTAAAAATATTCGAATGAGCCGATTATAGGCCTATAGGCCTATATCATGTTTGTTTTTTTAAAACTGTAGATTGCAAACCCCCTGCAGTTTGCTTACAACTACATGACCTCATTGTCCTCAGTGTGGCTGCAGCCTGACATTTGTGTCTTGCATTTACGTAGGGTACAGCCAAGTGTGCAGAATTATAATAGAATTTTATGAAATATAGGCTAAGCTTATCACAGTAAATAGGCTACAGGCCTACTTACAAATACTACTTTTCTATATAGCCTATAAGCCTACTGCATATTTTGATTGCACAGCTGTTTCTTTTTTTTTTTCCCCAAAAAAGTTTAAGGTCGAAATCAGACGGCGGCACGTTTCTGCGGTGTGGTTATCATGTGAGTGTGCACTTTACTGTTTGGATTGCTGCGCAGAGAGCTGTACATGATCTTTATTCTTCACTTCATATGTTTTAAAGGCTAACTGAAGATGTGACAGTGACTGACAAGTGGAATGGGGTACAGAAGGCCTAAATTACCTTTAGCCAATTAGATTTTAGAACCTATTGTATCCATACATAATGATCCAGTTCATCTATTTAAACATTTGTGTTATGTTATTAACCTATTATTATTATAGTAGTAGGCCTAATCTTATTGTTGTTATGTCATCTTGTGTTGGATAGGAGAGGCTACTTAACAAAAAATATAAGCCTAATTGAAATAAAATAAAGACAGTCGACCGTTTACCTTCCAGACTTGGTGATGATCATCTCAGTGCCGAGCTCGTGAAATTTGTCCCACAACTCTTTGGTCTCCAAGCTGCACGAGATCTTCGCCATCTCCTCGCTAGGGATGCCGGGATTGGTGGGGATGAGAGGCTCCGTGCACACCGCAGGCGCGTTCCCGCTGAAGTCCCCGTGTCCGTCCAGGGAGGACAGGTCAGCCAGAGACTGCTGGTTGCAGGAGGACTTCTCCACAAATTGTTCTGGTTTGGATGGATGCATGGAAACAGAGAAATAAACAAAAGTGTTTAATTGTTTTCGTCACCAGTGACAGCAGCAGCTCTGTGTCTTAGAGAAAGAGAAAGAGAAACACAGTTTTGTAACGTAACTAATGAAACTAATGAACTAATGAAATAGCCTATAGTGTAATAGATTTTTAATATTTCATTTTATTATTGTCATTATTATTACAAGAAGCTGTAAGTTAAAAGTCTCCAGGACAATGGAAAATAAAGGGGGGTAACATTATCTCTACATTTTATATTTGCTTGGTTATTTAAATCAATAAAACATGTCTATTATTAAGGTTAAAGAAATCCGATTTACATTTTCACTCAAATTCTAAAAATAAAACCTAAATAAATAAATAAGGCACTGTTCTGCCAGTTTTTTTTTTTTTTAAAACACAAATTAAATTTGCCGCATCAACCCATGATGAGTGGAGCAGCTCTTCTGGAGCAGGCAGATAATAAAATTAAATGAAATAACATTCAGGTTGATATTTACTGTTTGTAGAGCTTGCAGAGTGTTACCATTTATTTTTGGTAAAATTTATAGGATCCACATTGTAGCCTAAACTAATATCGGTGTGTCATCCAAGCACCTCAGTCACCTTCTCTCCCTTTTGACTTAATAGACATTTCCACTTCCTGTTTTAAATCACAAGTAATTGCTTAACAATAGTAAAATGATGAAGTTTTTTTTAGGCTACTCAAATAAAAAAAATAAAAAACCTTTACATTTATTTGTGAAATTATGGGGATGTTGATAATGATGATTTATTCACTTGTAAATCCTTGACCTTTTCGGGTTTTTTTTTTTTTTTTGGTTTTTTTACCTCACTGTTACCAGCTAACTCATCCCAATTAATTTATTTGCCTTTTATTTTTGTTCTCTCAGCATTTGCTCCGTGTTTTGTGCACTTCTCCTTCAATTGTTCTGTAGCCTATCCTCTTTACTCAGGTAGGCTCTCTATTTTATATATTTTTCTTCTCCCCTGTTAGCAGCGGGTCCTATGTGTCCTCACGGGGAGACTGCACCTCACTTAAATCCTTCATTAATTCTCGGGATTCTTGCGCAAAACAACCTTTAACACCTGTGACCTTATGCACCATGTCACCCGATTTAAACTCGAGTACAGTCTATTTTATTTCCCAGTCCGGCCCGTTTCCATCCTTACCGAGAGGCTTGATGGTGTTCTCCTCCGTCTCTTTGTCCTTATTGGGCTTCCCACTGGACATCAAGGCGGCTATGGAGAAAGCATTTGCCCGGGATGAGAGCTGCGGTTTCGGGGTTGACGTGTACTCCATGTCGGTGAAAAGGCTTGGACCAAAATACTCCCCTTTAAATGAAAAAAATTAAATGTCTCCAGAAACGTTCAACTCCGCCTGTTTTTGGCTCCCAGCGGAGGAAAGAAATACGTCCTCGAAATGCTCTTTGCGCACAATCTGCTCGCTCAAACGGAGAAATACTTGGCGCTTTGAAAACACTTGTCACTGCTGAGTTGTCAGTCTTGTTGGATGCATGTTGAAGGAAACAGGACGACTGACTCCACTGACTTGTGCGCGTCCTGCGGTGTCAGATCTGAGGCCGGCTGCTCTTTGGGAAGCTTCAGTCCGATTCACCCTCCCCTTATAATTCCAGTCTGCCCTCCAATCACTGCCTCTGCCTCCACGTCACACTCCCACTGTCCCACAGCAGCTCTGATACCGAGCAGCCAATTACAAAACCTGGAGCTGTCAGGAGTTTTTTTCATGCCAAAGACCCCGGAGAGAGTGTGTAGCTGGAGAGGAATAAAATGTGATGTTTTTATGACTTCATCTATACTGGGGTGGTGACAGTAGGAAATGACAAACATATGGTTAGGAACATGTGATTCTTTGCTTTTATTGAAAATATTAATTATAAAGAAAGTCACACTTTCTTTACCTTTGTCTGTAGCCCTCTCATGGACCCCTGGAGAACCCTCAGACCACATGTTGTCAACCACAAACCCAGCATGTCAGCAGCAGAGATGTTTGCCCAAGATGGTGCTATTTGATAATTAATGGCAGCAGCAAGGTGATGATGACAGCTTTACGCACTCATTTACACACACATTTGGAGTTGATAATGTCCCCAATACCTATCATCTCTTGAATCATTACACAAAACCTTGAACGCCCTGCTTTGTTTAGAAATGGAAACGTTTTAGTGAAATCAAATGACAGTCTGGATGATATCTGATCAAACACATTTTCTATTACTGCAAAAGATGTCCGTTTCCCAAAACATCAAAGATTAACACCAGTCCTCTTTGAACTTGTAATATGTTCACTGTGGCCTGTACATTAAAATTAAATACAGTTTATTCTTCACCTACCTGTAGGTGATTCTGAAGTGATTTAATTATTTTAAACATTGTGCATAAAAGCTGCAACCTGATAATTTCTGATATTGTTAAGGTATATTACATTGACTTATTTTTCCCACACATCAGGAGCAATTTAGGGTTCAGTATCTTGTCAAAGGGCACTTGAGCAAGATTCTGCCAGCCTGTTGTACCAACAACGGCAACGCTGTCACCATGTTTCTAATATTTTTGCTACTACATAAATGTAAATTTGATCTGAAAAAAAAAAAGTCTCATTGACAGGTGTGTAGGATCCATAACTCCTGACTGGGCAGCAAACAAGGAAACCATCCATCACTTGCACTAGCTTTATTAATGATGATTCCACAATCTGACGATGCCTGCAACACTTTCTGGGATACAAAAGGTCAATGAGCTCTTTAAAACACACATGATACTGAGCTCTTCCCTTTTTTGAACAATACATTAACCAATATTATAACAAGTAGGTTCTCAACACATATGCTTTTGTTCCTCAGTCTGTCAAACTGATTGAGTTTGGGTTCTAAGTCGGCCTATAGACCAAACTCTGAATCTATAATTGAGTAAACTGATTGCACTACAGCTACTTATTCATAATGCCTGATGTAGTATTTGTTTTGTTGTTTGGTTAACTGTTGTTGTTGTGTTATGTATGTGAAGCATTGTCTACAGCTTTTAATGCAGGACACATTTCAAAATATTCTGATAATAAAGTGAAAATAATCAGTCAATTAGTCAACTCCCTGATTGCCAGGTTTCTCCCAGGTGAGAGCCTGTGGTCTTTACATATATGTTGCTTTTTGTCTGTATTAACTTTGCCTGATGAATGTGTGAGGGCCGAAACATCGTTGCTACCTTGTTTCTGGTCTCTGTCCAGGTCTCCATGGCTCGGGTCTTCTTCCCAGATCCACATTCTTCATATATGTTTACCATCTGTTTTTAATTTAGTCTTCCTGATTGTGTAATTTTACTATGTTGGTCTAGTCTATCTGCTGCATGTCTGTCCATCCTGGGAGAGGACCCCTGCTCTGTTACTGAATTTTTCCTCATTTGAATAGAGGGTGCAAGGACAGAGTGTCGTATGCTGTGAATTTGTGATATTGGGCTATATAAATAAAATTGACTGGACTAATAAAGTAGTGGACTGTGAGCAGGATTCTTGTTTTGCTTCCCAGAAAAAAACCCCCCATCCCAATAAATTTGAATACAACACACCAACCACACGACACCCAGCTTCAACGCAAACAGTGGAATTGTATAAACACACTAACAACTTGTCATCTCATCAACAGCATGATTACTTTAAGTGAGGTACAGTATATTGCAATACTGTGTAGTTCTCCGAGCAGAAACGCAAAAATCAAAATGTTTCAAGTGTAAAGCTCTGTTTGACAGGTACGATCAGACGGGTTGATCTCAGCACACTGCGTGGCTCTCATTGATTCTGCTTTTTGCCCTCAGTATGTGATGTGAAGTGTGTGAGACCCCCCCCCCCCACACACACACACCTTATTGAGTGCAGGAGCAGCAGTCTTGGGTTAATCCGTTCTGTGACACACACCAGTGAGCCCCTAATCTTTATCACACACTCTCTCTCTCTCTCTCTCTCATGTGACAACAGGAAATGCACATTATTTTTTTGAAGCCTACCAGTAACAGTAATAATTGCTCTTAAAAGTAGCAGCCTAGTTGGTTTTTATGTTAACAGACTGGCCTGCAGTGTATACTGTAGGTCTTCCAGGCTCTGGCTTTCTACTGTTATCTTCTTATTACTGTCTTTAGTCACTCATTCAATCTTCTATCAAAGAAGAAAGCTTTCAAGACTGATTAGAGAAATCTTTATTTAAATAAATTTCCCTTGCTTTTAACTTGATAGGGACTAAATCCGGTCTAGACGTCAGCTAAGACAGAATCTTTATCAAGACAAAATGTTTTTTCTTCCTCAACATGACTGGATATGGGCTGCTTGATTTACAACAGCCAATCAGAGAGACAGCTTTCACAACAGACCATTTTACATTTTCCCATTTAAATCAAAACGCATGATGCTGAGAAAGAAGTAAAGGCTTACGGGCAGTACATGAAGGCATCATGGCTCCAAAACGCTGACTTCAGATTTTTGTTTTCCAAAGGTGTGTGTGTGTGTGTGTGTGTGTGTGTGTGTGTGTGTAGAGAGAGCAGGATCACCTCTCATCCTCAATGTCACTCTCTCTCCTCTCTCTGAGATGGAGGCCCACATAAACACCGAGCCAGAGATCCGCGGAGCAGCTAAACCCATTAGGAGACTCCTGAATGCAAATCCGCTGCTGCAGATATTTAATAAGAGACCTGGGCTGGCAAATTAGATTACCTCACAATTGCCAGTGGATAATGTGCTAAAAGCTTTCCCACTTAAGCTTTACTCCTTACCGAATATTATTCACACTTTGAGGGGCCGGTGCAGCCTTAAAGAAACAGCCAGCCTGAAAGGGAATTGGGGCGAAAAGCAGATGGTGGTTAGTGTTGGTGCCTTTCACAGGTGAATACAGGATGAGTCACAGATAAAACCAGGAAGCTGAGTAGTAATAGTTGACTACTCATTAATAGTTCATTGCCAACCGACTCAAAAACATGGGTGAGATTGAGAATAGTTAGTGAAAGTTAGTGAAAACAACTTCTAACAACTGGATAAGTTGGCCCATGCACGTTTTAGGCCTCTATCATATTACTGTCCAAATCTTCTAATATGATAATCAACCACAGTTCTGACAACATTTAACCTTCGGGAGGTTAATTTTTGGTAAAAGTCTTTCTATGCCTTCATTTTGGCCTTTGGTAAGCACATTTTGAATTGAATTTTTTCACCACAAACTCAGCTAGATAGCAGTCAGATAAGTCGGACTTATCTGACTGCCAGGAACCTAAAATACATGAAAACGTACACAGGTGCCAATAAAGATTTACATATCTATTGTGATAATCATTCAAAACATTATAAAACAGTTGAAGGTTGTAAAAAATGTTGATTTAGTATCTCCACACACATTTTATTAGAGAAATGAAAGAAATTAAACTATAATACAGTCTATTTTAATTTAATTAATTAAAAAGAAATCTTTGAAAAAAATGTTTTCTACAGACGTCAATGATACTATGTGAATGCCCCATATCAGCACATTCAACTGGTTTTCTCATCTTGTCTCTGCATGATGTACAAAAACCTGTTACTATAAATAATCACTTCGTGTATTTGCCAATAAACTTGACTTAATGTAAATATTTAACGTATCAAAATCCTTATCTTAAATAATAAGAATAATTTCCCCTCATTTCATTTTTGTAAGACTATCGAAACTTTCATTTAAACATGTTTTGGCTCTTAAAGATGACAGTTGGGTGTTCTGATTGGACGAGTGGATGAGATGCATATCGTAAAACTCTATCCCTTTGTTTACCAGCTATCCAATGAAGCACAGAAATGGCCCAAAAAATTTATTAATAGCACAAAATCAAAATAAATTTAGGCTACTTTTAATGGAGAGTAATCTGTTTTGAATATATATTAAATATTCTAACTCTAACCAAAATTCAAAGCAGGATTAGAGCCTATCACTCCCAAACTAATTGACAGTTCCTTTTACACTACATTAATGTTTCCTGATGCTTTAAAGGTATGTTTACTTTAGTAATGTCTGTAAACATACATTTTAAATCAGAAGATTGGTTTAGAAACACACAGAAATGCTGCTGTTTCATTATTAATTCAAACTTTAAAGTTAAATATATGAATAGAATATACTTGTAACTTATAAGCACAAAATACTGATTGGGCCTTTTTTTGACCATTCCAGCATTTATCCTTATGGTCTTATGAGCTTCAATCTCCTCATTTAGACTTTTCCTTTGTCACTCACTTCACTGCATGCTTTAAAAAATGTCAATCTTTGGTCCTGTGTTACGTCATAAGTAATTTTTCTCTTACTGTACATCAATTAAGATTACCAACTTGTTCCTATATATATATATATATTCCTATAGATAATGCCTCGTGTATCAAAGAAATTCCTGAAAAAGATTTACTTACATTCACAGTAGGTGAAATAATTTCATGCTGGCTCATTATAAGTGATAAACGACGCATTTGTTTAGACAGATTTTGCAGTGTGTCATTTGTCCTGACTGATGGGGATGAAATCAATCTACTACCTGTAAAAATGTGTCTCTTTCAACAGGTCATG